TTTTTACGATAAAGCCATTCCTCAACAACCAAAACGTTCACGTTCCGGAAAGAAACATCCAGCGTGTAATATCTCATAAAAAAGTTGTTATCAGAACAGTAAAATGATGTTTTTCGAGGAAATCACTGGCAAGGGTAAGCCGCTCGTGGTTTCTTCGGTGCAGGTGTGAAAATTGACCAAGACCAGTACTCAAACGGCGTACTAATGGAAGTAAATAAAACATTGATCCGACTACGTTTTCTAAAACATCTCATAGTCCTTCCAGCAGGACGCTACTCCAGCCCACAGAGCCAAGTTTGCCCGCGAGTGGTGCCGACGACAGCTGCCCGACTTCATTGGTGAAGAGGAATGGTCATCCTATTTTCCAGAACTTGACTCACTCGAATCCCACGAATGGTCCCTGATTAGAAGAGGACCTGTCGAGTTAGCAGTCCCAGTTTGGAGTCATAGAATGCAAAAGCTGGAGGACGGCTGGGAAGAAATGGAGAAGGATACCTGCGTGCCACATGCGATCAAGTCGAAAGCAAACTTTGACTTCTATTCGTGCTCACGGGGGATATTTTGAAATGCGACTTTAGCATGTTGTAGCACATAGTGTTAGCTAGCGTGCATAGAAGTTCCATCGTCTTTCGCAGTTGAGAAGTTTCAAATATATTGCTATCAATCGGCGCAAATAATTTTGGGACACCCTGTATAATACAACTCTGGGCGCAACATACTGCATGTGGAAATTGAGAAGAATCAGAGCCTCTGATAGGCTTGAAATTTTAAAATTCCAATTTCTCACCATTGAACCATTTCAAAAATATTAGTAATGGATGGGATTGACCGTTTGAAAGTTGCTCAAGATTTAAGTGCACGTTCTGTGGCCATAAGTTCATTCACGTGTACTGCCTTGGTTTGTACCGACATAATAAATTGATAACAGACCTGTAGAAGATGCATTTGGTTAGCTATCCATTTTCGTGCACGTCCTGATGATTCTATCTCAAACGGTACCACACTGGATTGGTTAACAATGTTGAAAATATCAAAGCTGAAAAATAAACACGATGCTAATACATATAATGCTCGCATGCGGCAGCCATGACTTCAGAACGGTGGAGCTAAAAAGACATACGGTTCTGCATCATCCATTCTATGTATGTCATCTGTGCGATCATCACCGTCTCGTATCCATTCAGCAAAACGAGTATTGCACTCAAATACCTGTTGGGTTGATAGCTGACTCCATTCGGCTGATAGCTAGAAAGCCTTTGATAATAATAAAACAAAACAGCGAAGAGCTAAACACAGAACAATGAACGAGCTAACTGAATTCTTGTAATACCAGTTCCCTTTTCCTCTTTCACATCTACAGCATAATGTTGACACTGTGAATGAATAATATATTACTTTGTACCTTCTTGAGCCACATCCCAAGATACGATTTACTGTAGATGAAATTTGCAGTGTTAGGACGAGTTTGAAGGATCACATCTATTTGGATCATTACATCGTCGCCATCTAGAAATGCTTGAATGCTGAAAAGGATACTTTTCGATATTTAAAAGGGTCGTATTAATGTATTCTTGGAAAATGAAAGTAGCACTACTTTTCACAAATCCACCACCACCGCCTTCTCCCATTCTGGGATATCTCTGATCGCCGCAACGTTGTGGAGTAATCGATGGAAGTTCAGTGATATAAAAGAATCACACTCACTATTCAAGAAAATCATTATATATGCTTTTTCGAATGGTCTTGTCCATCCACCGTACAATTCTTGCTAATTCGAGATACGACATATCACCTCGCTCGATCATTCCATAAAGATCAGTCAAAAGCCTAAAAATCTTTGCGATTCCGCTTCAAATTAAGAAATAATATCAAGTGAAGCACGCTTATGTTCACCAAAATTGAGCTCAAGTGCTTAGGCCGTGAATAACGTTGAAGTAAGCCGAAGGTCTTGAAAACTGAATCTGCTATGCTTTTTGCTCAATGTATTCCTCTAGTATGGGGGGGAGGGGGGTGGGGGGATCACAACAAAACGAAATTAACGAGTTCTAAAACATTCATAGATAACAATGAATAGCTCTTGCCATAGTGAAAGAAACAAGCTGTTACAAATCACCGCAATCCTTGGATGCGAATGTGGGTCGGAAGTTTGTGTGGGGTTTAGTCATTTTGAAAAAGTCACGGGATATGAATATCCAAAGTAAAAGGTGCAGAAAGACGTTAGGAAAAATAGGATAGACTCACAAGCAATGTTCATAAGGAGTGAACGCTTGAACATCTTGATGGATCTCATCGAGTACTTGTATAAGAACGTATACGGCCAACTGAAATTGATGTGCAAATAGCTTAACAAAGTTTTTCATTCTTCATGAAAGGAAAATACTTTCAATAAAAAGTTAGACTGTTATCCAGAACTAAAGAACGAATAACACCAAAAAGTTACGTATGAGTTGCTTAGAATTAGATTACTGATATTTCGCTACTTTGGGCGTGTAGCGATTTCTCCCATTGTGAACAGTTCCATACCTAAGAACTGATAAAACAGAATTGAGACTGAATAGCAGGTTGAATCCATGGCCTGGCTGAGTGTGGCTTTCTAAGAAAGTACTCACTAGTCGAACTGGAGTTCACCCTGGACGAAGGAGCTTCAAAAATCAACTGTTGATCAAAACCGCATGACGGGTACCATAAGTAAAGCCTGCTTGCTTCAAGACCTTTCCATTAGCGTCCTTTTTTATGTTCCTCAACGAGAGCCATTCCCTAATCCTCCGCTATGTTAAGCTTTAAGCTAATTCCACAATGTTCGGGTCTTTTTATAATCACAGCCGAATATTAAACAAACAATTAGTCGAATGAGCGCAGTAAACAAGCTTACCTTGCACGGAGTGATTCGTTCACAGACAGCATTTGTGTGCACATTTCCGAAAAGATCATCGAGATTTACTCGAGTACTGAATGGTATGACAATACGATCCTGACGCTGATTCCATTCGGCATAGGCACTCGTCATCAAAGGCTAATTCTTGAATAAAACGAAGAGAAGAATCAAATTACTATTCACGTACAGAAAAGCCGAAATAGCTCGAGTTAGAGCCCACCAGAGGCGATAAATTAAGGGAACGGAAATTGCTCGATTATTAGAAAATCGCTGGCAAAACTGCCGGTATTAGTAAGTTCATTCATCTTTGCGCTGATAAAATCCAGCCTTCAAATACGTTCAGTTTGATTCCCTGCATTACTTCTTCTTTCTTTCCTACGACAGCGTGGGATTAACGCTAGATAGTGAAAGAATAAGCAGATTATATGCAACTTTCACTAAATTTCATGAATTCATCCTCTACAGCAGACACAAACATCAACACCGGAATTAAAAACCTCAACTTTAACAAAACAATCGAAATGACTAGAGTGATAAAAATAGGTTATGAGAACCTCTCAAATATGATATCACAGTTCATGACAATGAGAGAAACAGTTCCTTTGCGACAAGTCAACCAAGGAAAAAGATACAGTCTGAGACGCCGTTTGCCAAATAGGCCAGAGAAAATGGTCAAAAAGAAAGGATAAATGTACGATCTAAGTTGGTGGATTTGGTGGAATCCAAATTAATTACCCAAAAGATTTGGTCTTCGTAAAGTCGGGAAATATTCATAACTCTATACAACCGCAAATGAACTAGATTTAAGCTCTACACTGAATTTGCCAAAGTGATTTCAACCTCAAAACGTTTTCAGTAAATGAAGCTCTGAGAGATAATCTGTATTCCTTTCTCTCAGACTCCATACAAGATGGCGAGATTCAATTGCGTTCAAGTGGAACAAACTAGAGCGCTACGCGTACAGTAATAGTGCGTCTCACACGCGAAACTAATAAAGTAAGCGTAAAGTTACGGACAGAAACGAGAATTCAGTCCGGTACTCGGCTCTTACATTGACCCCCTGGCTTACCGCACCACCCACCCCTCTCTCCTTGCCCAAAGCCCCTTTTCGATGCGTCGTATATGTGACGGGGAAAAATTTGCGGTTACTGTAAGAGCTGAATTTGCGGTTTCGGTGCT